GATAAATGAGCAAATTTGTAGTCCTTCAACATTACTTTACATAACATTTTAAAAAATGAGTGAGAAAGCAGAAAGGTGTGGGTGATTAGAGAGATTGAATGGAAATGAGTGTTGCCAAGCACTTCTCAACAGCTGATATTTAACTTGCTACCATGTAGTCACACACACACACACCCACAGATGTGTCATACAACAAGACCCTCACTCCTCCTGCTTTTTGTCTTAATTCCCCTGCTGGGGGTGTGTGAGTGGTGTTGGAATGTATGTGTGTGGTGGGGGGTATGATGTTGGAGTGTGTGTGGGTGGTTGTTGGAGTGGGTGTGGGTGGTTGTTGGAGTGGGTGTGGGTGGTTGTTGGAGTGGGTGTGGTTGGTTGTTGGAGTGTGTGTGTGTGGGTGGTTGGTTGTTGGAGTGTGTGTGTGTGTGGGGGGATGGATGTTGGTGTGGGTGGTTGTTGGGTGGTGTGGGTGGTTGTTGGGTGTGTGTGGTGGTTGTTGGGTGTGTGTGTGTGTGTGTGTGTGTGTGTGTGGGTGGTTGTTTGGAGTGTGTGTGTGTGGGTGGTTGTTGGGTGTGTGTGTGGGTGGATGTTGGGTGTGTGTGTGTGTGGTTGTGGGGTGTGTGTGTGTGGTTGTTTGGTGTGTGTGTGTGGTTGGGTGTGTGTGTGTGTGTGTGTGGTTGTTGGGTGTGTGTGTGTGTGTGTGTGTGTGGTTGTTGGGTGTGTGTGTGTGTGTGTGTGTGTGTGTGTGTGTGGTTGTTACAGGTGTGTGTGTGTGTGGGGTGTGTGTGTGGGTGGTTGTTTGAGGTGTGCCTTGTGTGTGGGTGGGTGGTTGTTGGAGTGTGTGTGGGTGATTGTTGGAGTGTGCGTGTGTGGGTGATTGTTGGTGTGTGTGTGTGTGTGTGTAGGTGGTTGTTTGTGTAATGTTGGGGGTGTGTATGATGTTGGGGTTTGTTTTGTGTAGGGGTGGTGGGGTGTGTGTGTGTGTGTGTGTGTGTGTGTGAGTGTGTGTAGCACAGTGTGGGCATCTCGAGCTGAATGTTTTTGAAGGAAGCGAACCTTTTTGGGGGATCGGGTCGCATGGTCAGTGAAAAATAAATTTAATACCATAATGATCCTTAATAAATTCTCTACAAAACATTTCCAATAAGATATCCTAAAACAAAATATTTCTGTTTAATATAGTGATGGGAATTCCATTCTTTTATAAAAAAAAAAAAACGTTAGCTGCTTGGGTGATCAGTCATGTCTCTGTTATGCACTGTTGGCAAGTACTAGGCATGCACCGACTCCTGAATGTATCTGAACCTGTTCCAGTGCTGGTCAAGTCTGATCTTGAAACAGCTCACACTTGGTGCCATCACAACACATTCTGGCAGGTTGTTCCACGAATTCACAACTCTCACTCCCAAAAACTTTGTCCTCAGTTTTCTGGACTTGCGGCTTCTTCAACCTTGAGCTGTGATCCCTTGTGAGTCGAGCTGTAGTTTCTTACGCAAACACCACTGTACAATATTACAATATTGTTCATACTGTAAACATGATAATGTTTATTGGGCTATTGGGCTAATGAAATATACTACTGTATATATTGTACTCCCTAGCAGGTCCTGTCATCTTTAGCTTAGAATAAGCAGACACTTCACTCGATTAACTGTAATACATAACTAATCATGTCTTAACACTTGTGATGAAGGTTGGGTGGGAGATTATTGGTGTCACATTGCTAACCTGACCTGATGCAGTCAGGTCACCCAGTGTAGGGTGGGGGATTAGTGGGTCTTATGACCTGAAGATTTCTTGAATGACATTATTTTTTACCTTTGAGGTATATGCATAGTACTGTACTGTATTATATTTGAAGGGTACAGGTATTTATCAATACATGTACCCTTCATATTATTACAGTAATGTATCTTTTCTAATTAATAAAAACAAATAAACAATATTGTTGGGTCGTACCATTATAAAGTCAGAGCTGCAGTAACACCACTTTATTTGAAGTAAGTTTCAACCTGGGAAAAAACTTACAAAAAACAAACATGCAAACACAAATATAAAATATACATTAGATCCATAAATATTTAACAAGAACCTTATAATTGTTAATGTAATCTATACTGTTAATGAATACTGTACTGCTCCAATCAAAAATAATGCTAACTCAAACTCACATCATAACCCTCCAAATCAGCACGAACCCAATACAAAGTTCTCCAGTCCGTCCCACCAGCGACCACAAGGGACAAATGTCAAGTCGCCCACATACAATACACTGAAAACAATACTTTAATCCTATAAATTTGCTTTATACAATTACGATATCTATTTCTGATAATTCTTGCTTACAGAGAATATCCAAACATTAATCAATATACTGTACTGTATATACCAAATAGCAAAACTAACTTGCATGAACAGAATATTTAATTTTCTAGTCCAGAACGTACGTTACGGCAACCGCCACAACATCAATGTGGCCTGTGTTCTGAAGAGACAAATGCCTGCCTACATACACAGCAATAATTTTTATACGAAATTCATATATTTTAGTACAATAAATTCTTAATCCACAATATTTTTACAATACCAAACAAATGTATATTTTTACACATCACATATCTCATCAGACCCTGTATGATGATACAAATATTGTATCATGAATGAGTCAGTACAGTAGACAAACAGTCTTTGCTCTTAACACACAGCTTCATTCACACCCATATCCTATACATTTTTAAATTATAAATATATTTATCTAACCAAACCTTGAGGTAAACTATTCTGGATTATTATTGTAAAGAAATTTTGTTTCTAACTTAATTAGAACTATATTTATGGACTCTGGTAGTTTAGACTCCAGGAAAACTTCCCCAGCACCCAGAAACGTTCTAGAGAAGTGGACAAGTGTCCATCTGTGCACGATGTCTAGTTTAGACAAGCGGGCTTCTTTTTCCAGTAACCGGAAAAAATTCTGGGGATAAGGAATTTTGCCAGGTTTGAGAAAGTCGTCTGGTTAGCCGGAAATCTCTTCTCCCCGGAAGTGCTCTGCACCAATTTTTCCGGCTAATGAGGATATCACTCATCTATGACATTGACCCCCCCCCCCTAAAAAAAAAGAAGATGGCAATGTGTCTGCTTTTGGGTGCTGTACAGGTAACCCCCGAGATACGATGGGGTTCAATGAGATATGTTCCCAGCCAATCCCCAAAGACACATGTATCACTGACAAGAAATTTCCTACAATACTACTATCAGCACAAAATAAGTAAACAACACTCGCCACATCACATTGGATAAGCCTGGTCATCATCACATGTTCCCTTTTAGGCGAAGGGACTCTTGTAGGAGGAGTGGAGACTTCACTCTGACTCCCACACAGCCTCTAGGGAGTCTCAAGCTGCTTAACAATGTCAAACTTCACCTGAGACACAGTTGTCTTGGCCTTCCCAGAGATTTTCAAAATTACACTGCTCACTTCACAGTCACAAAATGCAGAAAATAACAGTTCAATCTAAATGTTAGTGCTGTCCTCTCACTATATAAGAAAAAACCCACTGTTGATAAGTACAACGTATGATGCTGGCTGATAATCATGGAGCCATGCGATGGCGGGGTTATGATCGACAAAGAAGCAGACTGTAGTGCTTGGGTTGCCTATGTGGCGGCTCGTGGGTAGGCTGACAAGTGAAGGTTGAGATGCATGGTGTGTAGGGTTAAATATTTTATCCTTATAAAATATCACTGACTTGATGTAGAAATATATAACTTTCATTGCTGGAATCTTTGCAAGAAGGCAATTAATTTGAGTATAAGCATCCCTTAGTTTGCACTGTTCAATGGCTATTCAATGAATATCGTTCAAGCAAATTGTTTTGATCATATATAGTGAGATGGCATTAATTTATAACCATTATTAAAGTGAATTATCGTATCTCGGAGGTTACCTGTATTTCCCACATTGTCCTCTCTCGGAAGAGTAAAAGAATTTTATCTAAGTCAAGGGGTTAATCCAGTCATGGCACCTTAGTGGACAGGGGTGGATCCTAAGGGTCAGGATCCCCCTCCTCCTTTTCATCAGAAAATTCCAATCCTTTTTCTTTAATGCAGTATTGTATTCAGGCACAGGCTCCAAAATGGCCTCAAAGGGCCCAGAATTAAAAAAAATTCTGGGGGCTTACAGCATCCCCCCCAAACCCCCAGCAGGGTGGGTTTTTTGTGCTCGTCATGTTCTCCCATGCACAGCTTCTTGGACCCCCCCCCCCTCCCCTTTTATGATATTCCTGGATTAGTTTCTGGTGGGGGTGGGTATGGTGATGTGTACTCCTCAGTGTTCACCTTAACAAACTTTTACATGTTATTTCATGATGTTTTACAAGATTTACAGTTACCGGGTATCTATATACAGAAGCATCTTATAATAAAATCTACCCTCTCATGCACTACAATTTATTTTAATGGACTAAGAGAATATGTAGGTGGATGGTGTGTTCACCGACTATTTCAGTATATAACAATAAAAAGTGTGCAGCTTGTGGACTATGTTGAGAGTAAACTTTTGGCCCACAAGGCTGAAGTAGTTGGACAATTCTAATACTGTAGTACTGTACTGTGTTTTACATTTATCTGTTTGTCCTCGCTACATTACTCCACCCCTAAGTTTTAACTGTTTTTGATAACTTTTACCAATAATGCTCAACTTAACTGAAAATTTCTCATTAATTTATAGATATCTCTTGGATAGTTTTTATTTTTTTTTTCATATGCTGTACAGTACAGGTATACCAATATTTTGGGGCAATACTGTAGTTGTCATGAGCATATTTATTGGGAATGATGATCAAATGAACTATGGATGGTAATGACTATGGACTTACCCTGTAAATATTTTAGGATAAACATCTTACACTGTACAGTATACATTACAGTAGGAACCTGTACTTGTTTTCTACATTGTTTTATTGCCGGTATCAAAGATTTAGTTTGTGAAGGTGTTTACTCCACAGCATCAGATAAAGTCATCACAAGGCATAACTGGTGTAGTGGGTACTGGCCTGGCAGACGACACAGTAAAGGGAGAAGATGAGTGTGGGGTAGGCCAGACAGAGGAGGACCCAGCCCCCGCTTCCCTGGAGGAGGATTCAGGAGTTGTTTTGCCGAGCATGTCACCCGCACTAGAGGTAAACTACGTAGTTATAAAAACCTATTTGTTAATTGTGGTAGAATGGTGTATCATTGGTATTTTTGTAAAGAGTTGTGGCCTATTAAAAAAAACATATCTTTTAATTAAAATAAATACAATATAATTACTGTAATACTGTACAGTATTACCCCGCTTAACGCGGTTTCAGTTAATGCGATTTCGCATATACGCGGTGCCTCGCCAGAACTGAACTCTCACTTAACGCGGTTCATCTACCCATATACGCGTGAAGTATAATTTTTTTTTTTATTTAGCTCATAAAATTCACACAAATTACCCGGCCAGAATATAATTTACATTGCTGGAATTCTTACAATATGATGATCATTTTGAATATAAACATCATATATTTTGCATTAGACATACAAATTTTAGATATAATGTTTACTCTGAGTAAATATGTTATCTTTTGTGCAAAATATATGACATTTATTTTCAAAATATTCCTGGTCCTACAAGGAATCCAGCAATGTCAGTTATATTATCCTAACTTTAATTTGAGGTATTATTTATTAAAATCCAGTGGTTTTCCCCCCAAAATTTCTCAGAGAGGGAAGAGCCAGCAGTGTAGTGTGAGAAGAGGGGGAGGGAGTTGAGTCCATTATTTGAATGGACATTAACTTGGCGACTGTATTTCTCTATTTCTCTTAAGTATTAATTGTGTGCATGTACCATCATAAAATTAAGATGTTATTTTTACTAGAACATAGGTATTGTGTCTGAAAAAGTAGAGTTTGGGGGTCGGGCCAGTCTCTATTGGAATTAATCCCATATGTTCTGTTGTTCACTTAACGCGGTTTTCACTTAACACGGTACCCTGTGGGTTCAATTGACTGCGTTAAGCGGGGTACTACTGTACTGTACTGTACTGTACTGTACTGTACTGTACTGTATTGATGACCTCATTGCAAATCAGTTCCATATCTTTGTGGACAAACAGTTCAAGGAAAGAATTGGCAAAGGAGTAGTAGTAGTGGTGAGAAAACAGGGGGGGGGGGGCCATGGCTGAGTGCCCCCTGCATCCTGAAGTCTATAAATGCTATAAGTACAGGAATACTTTACCATGCTATTCGCAACCCCATATATCCATATATCCGCAATTCATATTTTAACACCCGTATTCGATGTTCGTAAAGTATACCCCACTTATTCACAAAGGAAAAATTGCGATACCCTGGGTGGCTAGCCGCAGCTCTCATATTCTGAAGTAAGGGCCGCTTCACACAGGCTTTTTTTTTGCATGTACGGACCCACGCAGCTTAGATATTAATTAATTTCAATGGGACTGTTCACATGGAGCACGAGTGGGAGCCGCTCACCCCATGCCTGTACTGTACCTGTATTTCCAAACCACGGCATGAAAAAATAAGCCGAGCATTCTAGAATTCTTCATATGGCAATGGTAAATGCTTGTTTAAATGTTTTCACTCATTTACAAATGTGCGCACACACACACACACACACACACACACACACACACACACACACACTCACTCACATAGTTTTTGTTTTTTTTTGTTTTATCCTCTTTGCCACTGATTGGCTCATTAGCGACTTGGGCGGTCGGTCACGTCTCTGATACACACTGTTGGCAAGTACTGGGCATGCATTGGCTCCTGAATGTATCTGCTTGTCAAGTCTGGTTCTTGAAACAGTTCACAATTCTCACTTGGAAAAAGTTTGCTCTCACAGTTTTCTGGACTTGTGGCTTCTTAAACCTTGAGCTGTGACCCCTTGTGGGGCAGTTGTCTGCCATCTCCAGGAATGGAGACTCGACTGAGTACAGTGTAGTGCCCTCTGAGATGTTTATACACCTCAAATAGGTCACCCCTTGCCCGTCTGTAGTATAAGCTAGGCAGTTGCAGGCGCTCTAATCTCTCTGGATAGCTGAGGTACCGAAGTGCAGGCACCAGTCTGGTGGCCTTCCTTTTGACATTTTCAATCAACTGACAGTCTCCAGCATATCTCAGGGACCAGTACTCCAGACTGGGAAGCACCTTACTCTTGAAGATCGTTATGAGGGACGGACCATTTAGATATCTGAATGACCTTCTTATAAGACCTAGTAATTTAGTTGTTTGATTCACCTTCTTCTCACAATGGCCCAAGAACTTCAGTTCATTGTCAACGTAAACACCCAGGTCTTTTTCGCATACAGGTAGTTCTGCTATAACGCGATAATTGTGTTCTTGTAAAATATCGTGTTATAGAAAATCGCGTAATAGAAATAACAGGGCTTATGGAGAAAATAGGGTTAGGTGCAGATTACTCGAAATCGAAAAAATTTAGTAGTTAGCCTAACACAAAGGATAGCACAGTCTAAATAAATGTTACATTCATATCTAATAATGAAATCATACAGTAAATGTAATACTTTACCTTGACAAAATATGAATGTAACTTGATGGGGGAGAAGGGTGATTTTGAGGTTGATAACATCGAGCTTCTCTTCAAGTGTTATATCCTTTCTTTTACGATCATCACCGGGAATTCTATCACCAGAACGCTTCTTGGAGATATTCTTCTTTACCATATTCACAGTTAATACCACAAAATTGGAGAAATAGTAAGCAAAAATCGCGTTATAGCAAACAAGCGTTCGCGTTATACAAATATCGTTCCTAATTCATAAATCGCGTTAGAGCAAATTCGCGTTATCAAAACACGCGTTATAGCAGAACTCACTGTATACAGTAAACCCTCAATAACTCGGCACATATAGGGCTTTGGCCTTACCGAGTTATCCCAAATTCCGACTTATTGAGGCATTTCCCCCCCTCCTACAAAAATACAACAATAAAAAATTATTGACCCATATATGTGTGTACATGTAATTACTAAATGTAAAAAAGTAACACTTAGCGCACTGCAGGCAAAAAATGAAGCATCATAGTAGGTGACACAGATGCATGGTAGGTGACACAGAGATATGGTAGGTGACATAGGTGGCCAGATATGCCGAGATTTTCCCAGATAATTTTACATATCTCGGCATTTCCCGAGTTATACTGATGCATTCCAAGACCATATCCCTGCCGAGTTAAGTGAAATTCCGAGTTATCAAATGCAGAGTTATCGAGGGTTTACTGTAATCTCTATTAATGCAGTTTATTCCTCCTGTTGGGACATGTGATACGCCTCCTTACTGTTGGTATGATCCAGGTGCATCCTCTTACACTTCGTGAGATTGAATCTTAGCAGCCATTTATTCGACCATTCTTGAAGCTCGGAGATCTTTCTGCAGCTCTTCACAGTCTGTTTGGTTCTTAATGTCCCTAAATAACTTGGCATCGTCTGCAAACATTTGTATGGAGGAGTGTATAGCTTCTGGCATGTCATTTATGAAACAAACAAACAACATCAGGCCCAATACACTGCCCTGTGGTACCCCTATTGTGACTGGTACACATGACGAATTTGTACCATTAATCACCACACACGACTTGTGATCATGCAGAAAGTCTCAGGTCCATGCTAGGTCATTTCCCTGAATTGCATACCCTCCCAGTTTAATTCTCAGTCTTTCATGGTGTATGCTGATGAAAGCCTTGGCTAAATCTAGGTATATATTGTCAATATTGCCACCCTATTCCAGAATTTGGGTCCAAACATCCAATACAGTACCTTGAGTAATTGTGTTAAGCAGGAGTGTCTCGGCATAAAACAGTGTTGTCAATCCTTTACAAGTTTGTTTTGTTGTAATGTTCCATCAAGGTATCTCTTATAATGCTCTCAAGTACTTTACACACTATGCTGGTTTATAGTTATTTGTGGAGTGACGATCGCACTTCTTGAAAATAGGACTTGCATAAGCCATTTTCCAATCACTGGGGACCTTTTGCTCATCCAGGCATCTACAGAACAGGATCTTAAAGGGTTCGGTAAGCTCGTTGCACAACTCTCTTCGCACTCTGGGATGCACCACGTCAGTGCCTGAACTCTTATGAACCTTTAGCTTTGACAATTTATTTCTTGTAACCTCTTCTGAGAATACAATATGGGTCAGCGCTGTGTCAAACCATCTGTGCTCAAACGCAGGAAGATTGTTCGCATCCTCTCTTGTGAACACCGAGGAAAAGAAACTGTTCAACGCCTCCACCTTGTCCTGGTCAGAATATGCGTAACTACCATCTTCAAGCCTCGGGTCCAATACTCCTACTTGCGTTTTTAAGTTTGACTTTGCATAGCGATAAAACGACTTTGGGTTTGACTCGACTTCACTCGCAATCCGCCTCTGGAACTATTTTTTCAGCCCTTCTACACTCTGGCTTTGCTTTTTTCTTGGATCTTGCATACATCCTCTTGTCCTGCTCATCATTTTTCCTAACCCATGTCTCGAATTTCTGAGTTTTCTTTTTAATTTTGTCAACTGCCGCATGGTTCATGTGTAGTGGTCTCCTTTTATTCCTGGAGGCACTGGGTTTGGTCTTGAGTATACATGTATATTTATCAATCAAATGGTTAGCTTTACTGGCTATGATATTCAGCGTAGTGTCTGCATTCTTATGCCTTAGTGAGTCAGGCCAGTGGATACTCCTCATCTCCTCCCTCATCCTGTCGTAATTACCCTTGTAATATTTGAACCTTGGCCTGGTTTTATCGTGAACCAAGTAAGAGTTAAATTTGAAGTACGTACAACATTACGTGGTGACTGGTGCCAACGAGGGCTAGGTGTTCCAGCCTGGCCACCATACCCTCCTTGTTAGTTATGATGAGGTCCAGTGGTTTGGGAGTTTTCCCTCCCAGTGTAATGAGTCGGATCTTTAATATGCTTGGACAGAAAATTGTCTCGGAGTTTCTACAAAAAGAATAGCGGGGTTGTTTAGGTCATTTGGTGTTTTTTCATTTCTCCAGTCGATGTCGCCATAGTTAATGCCCCTCATGTAAAGGAGGTGTTCTTTTGTATTGTTTATGTTACTGAAGTTATTTTATTGCATTCTGTGGAATGTACCTGTATATCGAAAAATATGTTGCTAT